TCCAATTCTCTGTCAATTTAATTTCTTTTACGTGTATTTGGGAAGGAACTTTGACAAACACATCATGCCTACTGGGTGCCCTTTGCCCTTGTGTTTATTGCCCTTCTTGTAGAACTCCATCGGGTTAGTGAGGCAGGCTTTCCCTTCACAGCAGCTGTGATGGTTCTTTCCCAACAGATCCATGTTGTCTCATGTGCTCTGTGATCTTATTTATTATAGACTCTAGTGACTTTACCAGAAGCAGGAGTCAGACTCGCAGGTAGTTTCTGGGATCCTTTCTAGAGTCCCTTTTTGTTTGAAGTTGTGTTGGCAATCCACCAGTCTTCTGGGCGTGTGGCCATTTGTCGTGATGGGTCGTACTTCCTGGCCAGCACCTCTGTGTTTTCACATTTCAGGTTCATCAGCACTCCTGTGAACTGTCATCCAGTCTTGATGAGTTATCGATATCTAATAATTCCTATATGTTTACATTAAATCATCTAGCTTTCACTTACTTATCTACTACAGGGAATAGTCTGGGTTTGGGTATCTTCCCAGTGTGTTTAGCAGTAGAGACCAGGGCTTTATTTGTAGCACTTCTCTGCTGTGGCCTTGTTATCCTTCAGTTCCCTTTTTCTGCTTTTCTTATTGAGCAGTCCCACTGATTTCTTGTCTGGATTCTTGGTTATGATGATGAGCATCATTTGCAAGAAGCTCTCTTAATTTTGTGTTTACATTGCCCTGACATATTTTATCATCTTTCCTTTTCCTTCTTTCCATTCTTAATACTGACCTTCTCCTTGTAATCATCTTTTAACTTTTCCATTAAGACATCCAGGTGGATTTTGGTGGTGGGAACCAGGGAGAGAAGGGGAGAACTACTTTATTTTCTTTTTGAATGTTGGCAGCCATTTTTCCTGGCCTTCTAGTATTTTCAGTAGTCTTCTTTCTGACTGTTTGTGACCGGTCCTTTGCCGTTTTTTGGTGTTTGGTGTTTTGCCCCCTTTTTTTTTTTTAACTATTTTTTTTTATTTTTACCTATATTTTTTCTGTTGATGTTGAATATTTGTACATCAGATTTACTTGGCCAGTTTTCTTCCACTCCAGTACTGCTAAACCTACTCATGAAGCATTTGGATAGATTCCTGGGAGATGGAGAAACCTACCAGTAGAGAAATAGCATTATTTAGAATAATAAGTTTATAGTAGTTAAAAGTAATAATAATAGTTTCCATCCTGTTTTCAAATCCAGGGGGATCTGTAGATTGCTTTGGAAGTCTGCAAAATCTTACTGAAAAAAGCGGCCAACTTGTCCAGGGTATAGGACACAGCACTTCTCTTGGTATTTAGGACTTCATGTTTCTGCTGGAAAATGTTAGGGTTCCATGAACTGAAAAATTTTGAAACCTATTGAATTAAATAAAATCTTTGGGTTCTTTAATGCTTGCAATTCTTGAGAGTTCTTAGTCAAGTTCTCTTGTAGAAAATGGTTTCCTTTCAGCCTTTCAAGATACATAGTAAGAATACAGAGAAATAATTCAGTGTAGGGAGATGGGAATTATGAGTTCTGTTCCAGTTTCTCTTTTAATATTTATTATTAAAATTAATATTTACATCCTGGAGTAATAGGAGAGAATTAAAATGATAATGTTTGCAATGTTGGAGAGAATGACTTTAGAACATGAGATCCCGAGTACCTGTGGGATTGCCTTGCCATGAGAAAGAACCTTAATGGGGAAATGTAAAGAGCTTTTTAATGTAGCAGCATAAGGAGTAATGGAGCTCCATGACTGAATGTTGAATCCAGGTGTATTCACAACCACGTTGAGGGTGACTAAGAGAAAGACAGAAAAAGGAGAGCATCTTGATACCCTCAAAACAAGACAGAATGCATTTTGGAATATAAACACTGAAAAAATAAGTAGTTTTGTACCAGTATATGCGTAACACAAAAATTTTGTGGCCTGTTTCCTTGAAGAGGTCATACTGACATAATGAGATGTTCCTTTTTGTCTTAAAATGTGACACCATGAATAAAAATCACAAAATGTCCTGTACAGATTTGCACACAAGATACATAGATTAGCAGAGAAATGTAAACTTGTTGAGAATTCGTCCAAGACTTGGTCAGAGTGTTATTCAAATGAAACAGTAAAAATCCATTTACTCCTTGCTGAGCTTCCCAGTGACATGCTGTTTGAGAAACACTGTATCAATATTAAAAGATAAATTTACTGTAGTTCCCAGTGTGTTTCATAGCCTTTCTTAGCTGGGTACTGCTGTTGCCACCAGTTTGGCACTTTTGTACTTGGTATCATGGACAGTTAGAGCTCTCTTACTGAATGTGGAGTGTCCACATACTTTTCTTGCTGTGTATTTTTGTTTTCTCATTATACTAATTTAAGTCCATTAGTCCTTTACACTTTTCTATGTGAAGGTACTGATTCATGGTAATCAAATAATTTCTTAATATTGTTTTGACATGTTAAGTAAATGGAGTTCTTTAAAGACAGTGTAAAGGCACTCTTTATAGCACATGGAGTGATGCTGGGTTAAGAATAAAAATATTCTTTGTGGTAGCACACATACAGACTTAAGAGAAGGAATGAGCTAGAAGTATTGTATAATATATTGTACTGTTAATTTTCCTCCTTAAATGAAAGCAGGAGTGTTACTATTTCCTTCCTCTAAACTTAGGAGCAAATGCACATGAAGGATGCAACCAGGCAGCACGACCATCCTTATACAAACAGAGGCCACAACAAGAAGCTGTATGTTGTCTGCTTTGGTGCTTGTACAATCAACAATAGATACACATACAGCCCTCCCACATGTTACTCACATAACCAGATCCTTTAAACAGATGACCAGTGTGTAAGGGGAGAGGGAAGTTTTGAAAACAGCATCCAGAGGATGTTTTTCTTTTATACCAAATCAGACGTAATGGTATGCTGCTAATAAAGGAGGGAGTTCAGATAGACCCGGCTTGGAACGTACACCCTTGTCACCTTGTGATGAATTTAGCAAGAATATGACTTTCCAGCTGATGGGGTCAGTTTTCTGTTCTTACAGGAAACTGTCCTATTCCTGCCCTTCTCCATCCCCCCCTTTTTTTTGCTATTGGACTAGTGAGCTGCAGAAGTGGCAGATCAAACAAGGAAGACCACTGGACTGCAGGACTGGAAGGAGGAGGAGGAGGCAGGGTTTCTCCTCAGCCCGAACAGCTGAGGTATAATGAGAAATTGCACCTGGAATTCTCTGAGGGGTTTTGTTGTAACTAGAGGAGTCTGAAAACAGACATTTCAGGAGGAAGGAGAAACAGGTAGAGGACTAGAGTGTTTCTATAGCTTACTGATCATTGATCTCTTGACCTCACCTTATTCTGCCTTATACAGAGATAAAAAGTGCCTGAGAGAATGGCCAGATCTGTGGGAAATGTTCCTCCCCTTATTCATAGAATGGTTTGGGTTGGAAAGGACCTTGAAGACCAGCTAGTTCCAACCCCCCTGCCATGGGCAGGGACACCTTCCACTAGACCAGGTTGCTCAAAGCCTCATGCAACCTGGTCTTGAACACTTCCAAGGAGGGGAGTTATCTCAGATTGAAGAGGGCTTGCTGTCTGTAACCAATAATCATGTCACTAAATTTCAGCCATTCCCTATCGATCTGTGATCTGTTGGTACAAGATCCAGCTGTCACTAAAAACTAAATAGTCTTGGAATAAAATTTAACTGAATTAAACTGTAGACATCCAGAAGAAAAGCTTTTATTAAAACTGTTTCAGCTGTGCTGCTGATGCTTGCTATTCTTACACGCACACAAAAATATGGAAGACTCTGAGAGGAGATGAAAAATTGGTGTTGCTTCTCTCTGACGGGGAACTCAAATTCCCCGGGGAACGTCAGCATGGAAAAATGCATCAGCATCATAACGGGCACTCATCTGCAGCATGACCTCCGGAAGACAAAGCAGTGTTTTACCTCTCGGGATTAACAAACATGTGTCAGCTTTAGTACTGCTGTTTGGTAGTCAGGTGATAGACTGCCCATATGTCCTCATACCTCATTCTGGCATGAGATATTTTTTTTTTCTCTCTTTGGAATTTGAAATAAAAGCATAGCTTTATTCCGTTGTCATTTGTTCCAGCTCTTATGTCACATTTTAAAAGATGTTTTAAGAAGTTCTGTACCTGAATTAATTTTTCTCACTGTAAGTCTTCATTGGAAAGGCTTCTTTGTTTATCTTTACCAGGGACATGCAGAAATTGTTATAGAACGTAGATGACTTGCATCAAAAGAAACTTAAGTATATAAATAGTTATGCTCTGAATAGGAAGATGAATGTTGAAGAGTGTTTCAGGCATTTTACAAATCCCTCTCATAGTGCAGCATGGTCTTTTTGGTGGTGCCATGCTCCCAAATTACACAGGGAAAAAGGAGAGAAGGAAGAGGTCTTTTTCAGACACTTATAACTTGCATCTAAGTGAACAAGTGTCCCCATATCTGTCTCTGGGATTTGGACCAGTAATGTGAGGATTTCTTGACATTAGAAAAATGATTGTTCAGTGGTTAGTGTTTTGCAGTGGGGAGAAATGGAAGATAATACATGGCTTTAAAATATCATGAAGTTAAAAGGTTTAACTTAAAAATAACTGAAAGCTTGGAGAAACTGTGTTTTCTGTCTTGTGACACTTTATCACTGGCATTTTATTACTCTGGGGAAATTTTGTAGTTCATTTTAAGCAAACTAGAAAATGTGAGTGTTATGCGAACATTATTATTAAAGGCTGGTGGAAGCATAAAATATGGATTTCCCCTCACTCTTACATGGGTTTCTATATCCGTTATAGAACAGATCCTTATATTTCAGCTATTTAGTTTTTACCGAATTTGTTATTGTTGAAGGGAGTTGCAACCATGATTCTTAAGGAATTCTGTAATTCATTAAAATAAAAAAAAAAAAGACACAACTACCTCTAATAAATGTTTTGATTAAAATGGACATTTCTGAACCTTCTACAGACAATACCCGCTCAGATGTGACAGCATTTGTGACATCACCAGTACAGACTTTCACAAGGATTTTGAAGTCAGTGTTGTAAGTCAGTTTCCATTTTGTTTTTCTTAATTAGAAAATTGTGCTATTTACTTTCTAGAGGAAAAAAATGTACACTGAAACCATATCAGATCTGTTTAGTTAATTCAATAGTAATGAAAATACATTTTTTGACAATTACAGTTCCATATTGGTCCCTATTATTTTGGTGTCACAAATGTTAAATATTTGGTGCCAGTTAATTATTCTACGTATAAACAGAATTTCCAAAAGACCACATGTAGGAGGAGATTATCAGTGTTTTCTCATGTATGAATTTGACTTGTGCATTGAATAAAATAATTGTAGCATTTGCTGAGATCTGTTTAAGGTCATTCTATAAGTTATTGGACTGCCTTTTGAATCAGAACTATTTTGGAGGCTAAGTCATTAAAAACTTTTCAGTAATTCAAATTAGGAAAAGAAGTATGCTTATAGCAGAAAAACCACAAAATGTGTGTCTGTTAGTGGAAAAACAGTAACAAACCTCATCCTTAGATTGTCTAGATAAATTTATGTACCTTATCCAGGTCAGTCATCTTTCAGTTCCATCTTGTGGCTGGAATTTTGGGGTTCATAATTTATAGCTCTGTTTTAAAAGTTTCTAAAGTGACTGAAAATGAGGCAAAAATTTTGTGCTAGTGACATTACAGGGTTGAGAATTTTGTATTTCTGCTAATCAGTCAAGCTTTTTTAATTCAGAGGACCGGAAAAACTTGAAGCAAAAGGCTTTTTAACACCTCACTTGCGTGAATATTTATTGCAATTGTAATATAATAAAATCATGCAAGACAACATACTGTAAAATATGTATATTAAAATTGAACTGTATTATGATTCTTATGTGGGTGTTATGAGCAGTTTTTTTCATTTGAAGGCAGTGAAATATTTTAGAATTATGTAGAATCCGGAGGTTAAAAACTTGAGTTGTTCTTTTTTAGCTTCTATTACTTTGATTATAGTCTGTGAATTTAAGAAAATACTGACCAAATTGTTCTTATCTTCTTGGCACTGTTTCTAGTATGGGAAGTATTGCACGGTTAACTCAAAATATCAATTTATATTGGGATCTCTGTGTTGCTGAGATTCTGTTAATATCATTACATTGTAATAACTACTTCTCAAATAGATGTCAAAGTGTTGTATTTCTAGCTTTTTTTCAAATCGAATTTTAAGTGACTTTTCGATTACTTGCCAGAGTACAAAGATCTGTACATATTCCTTATAGTTTACGTATTTTTATTTGTAATTGCTGTGTACATGTGTAAAGAAATGTCAGAATATGTTCTGACACATATGTCAGAATATACTTTGCTTGTATAGAATGTGAAATTGTATTAGGGAAATTCTTGGTTTAATACTGTGTCAGAACAGTTGTGGCATCGTTGCTTAGAGATACAGTTGATCTTAGAGATCTGTATCACTTGAACCTGATTTTCTAGCTTAACAGGAAAATAAGAATTGCAATCACAAGGTAGAACAGCAGTCCAATTAATCAGTAGTTAATTTTGCATATATTCATACTGATGCCCCTTCTCCCTTGCATCTTTCTTGCCCCCAGCCAATTACTCCTCATCTCTCCTTTGTGCCAATACTTACTAGCTGTACAGTGAGCTGAAATTGTTTCGATCTGGTCGAAACCTATTTTCTTGGGGTGTGCTTTTGGTGAGATCGTTTTGCCGACCTGCCTCAGCTGGGTGGATGGCAGTTCTGGTGCAGGGGAGTGGCCCATGGGATGCACTGCACACTTCCTCGGGGTGTTCCTCACCTTCCCAAAGGCTCTCTGCTGGTGGTACCTTGTATTTAGGGTGAAACAAGGTGGCCAAGGGCTGGCACTTTCATTCACCACCAGTACTCCTTGGCTAGTACCAGATTTGTGCTAGGACAAAAATGCAAATATGCATCGCAATTAAAGGAAGAACCTGAGTAAGTTGAATGTTTACTCCAGTTTCCAGAATGTGAGATTTTCGTTTTTTAAGAAAAAAGTGCTCACACAAGTTTGGAGATGCCTCACAGCATTCAAGGAGAGGCTGGCTTTTTCTAAAGGTGCCAGTAGGTATTGGGTGTGGGATTGGTGGGAGAGTGGCTGGCATTGCCATGGTGCAAACTGCTAGTTACGCGGTGATGTTACAGAATTCAGAATTGTAGATGCTGAATGTTTGAAAATCTGCTCCTGAACTCTTCTGAAAATGTGTTCCTGTGCCAGTAGTATTCTACTACTGGACATTTGTGTCATTGAATCTTTTTGTCATAGTCCCTCCTTTGAAACCCAAGCCTAATCCAGTCTTTCTCTCCTCACTCTGCTTTTCTCTATCTCCATTCTCTTTCCTTTCTTTTCTCTTTTTTTTTTTTTTTTTTTTCTCTGAAGCCCTTCTGTTCTCTTGTAATTAAAAAAAAAAAAAAGTTAGCAAAACTGTAATTTATTTGTTTATCATAGAATAATAATATTATCGGTGTTTCTAATACTGTGTAACTTTACAAATGGTAACATTTTTATTTCTTATCAGTACTTCATACTTTAGCAAAGGCTACCTTAGTTGTTCTATAGTGGTTAATTTAAACTAAGCACAGTCCGTGAGTATTTCAGGTTATTTCTGTAAGTGTTTATTATTTCAAGTAATTCTTCACTCTATTTCATCTGGTGTTTCTCAGCCCACTGGCATAGCTTTGCCACTCTGAAATTCTTCACGTTCTTAATAAACTTGAATAGTTTTACTGTCTTGCAGGATGTGCGGTGGTGATCCTAGATCATTGTTGTATATATTAACTAAAAGTGTCCCTAACAGACAACTGTAGAGCATCATGGATTGAAATTTGACTATGCAATCCTATTTTGCCCTCTTTTTTTTACCCAGTTTCCTATTGATGTTCTGTTCCACCACACAGCTTTTTTCATCCACACAACTGCTGTTCCCTTAAACTTATTAAAAGCTTTTTAAAAGTTGAAATAAATTGTGTCAGTTAGTCTTTATCCTTTTTATTTTCTTGACATTCTTAAAGAAATCCCATGTGTATGATGGGCATGATTTTTCTACTCAAAGGCAGTTCTGTCTTGCTTATCTTATGTCAGTTTGTGTTATTTAAATGTATGATTAAAAACAGAATTATAAACAGTTTTCTTTGATTACCATCCAGCTAGTTGACTTGAAATTTTCAAGGTTGGTGCTGTTTGTTTTTTTTTTTTTTTTTTAAAAAAACTTTTTTGGTTCTCTTTGGGGGTGTGGGGTGTAATTCTCCATTTATATATAATCCTTCAGTTTAACTGTCATTATTGAAGGGTAGCCAGTTTTTGCCACCTTACTTAAAATTTCTTAGTAATTGTGGATGTATTCTGCCTAGTTCTGGGACTCACTAGTACCTGGCACTCTGCTCCAATACCCTCTTATTGATCCAGAGACAGTGAAAATATTTTTCTGTTACCTGAAGCAGATTTCTGTTGTTGTCTTCTGAGGTAAAGACCAATAGAAAGAAACCATTCTGGTTCTTTGCAAGTACCATTATACTCAGCTGCAGACTTCATTTTATGTCTGGTTAATTTTCCACCAAATTTGCATCTTTTATTTTCTGGAGCTTTTTATTTCCCTTACTTGGAAGTTCGCTACATGTTATTTTCTGTAAGCAGTCCTTCTAAGATTTATTAATTTTGCCATTTAAGTACAGTCCTTCTTTTATTTAACGACTCCTACATTCTCCCAGCTCCACTCAACTGGTTCCGTATCTTCTGTGATTCCAGGATGATTTGGTGGCATGAGAAGGGTGAAAAGCTGGAACTGTGTGGTAGAGAGCAAGCAGACCCTGAGGGGGGTGATGGTATATTTTCCCAATTTTGAAGGTCCTTATGGGTGAAGCATTTAGATTGCTAACAAACATAGTGCAAAATGCGATCCAGGAAGAAAATGGGGGTAGAGGTGGGGAGGTGGATATGAAGTCTTTGTCTCCCTCCCGTGCCCCATGCTGAAGTTCAGTTTCACCTTCAAGTTTACGGAGCAATTCCTTTCCCAAATATGACAGAACCAAAATATTTTGGGATTACTGTTAAATGGTTCTTGAATTAATTCCTCTATGCTGCATGGATGAAAAGGAAAATACCTCCTGCTCATGTGTTTTAGAGTCAAGAGTATCAAGGAGTATTGGCGTCAATAAATTACTTCTCTGAACTTTATGATGTGTGATATTTAGCCAGTTTGAGAGAAATAAAAAATCTTGAAGTGGACACTATTTAAATTTGGGGGCATGGGATTTTCTGCAATTAACTAGATTGCTGTGGTAGGCCAATATATTAAGCTCAGGCAGTTTTGCTGCTAATTACACACAACTTCTCTGGAGTATCGGATATTCAGATCCATTTTATGAATATGGTAGAGAGAATAACAACTGTAAAACAAAGCACTGTGCATGTAAGTGACTGTTAGCGTGTATTTCAGAAGGGATAAATGCTCACCATATGGTACAATTACTGTGTCCAAGTTTTCAAATTAGCTTCTCTCATCCTCCTTATTACTGTCTTTAAAAAGAGAGGAAAAAAACCCAACATGATTTATCTACTCTGCAGCAGAACTCTTGACGCAAAACAGCAGCCCAGTTCTGTCCAGTTTTTTTTTCCTAGCATAATAGAGGCTGTCGGACTTTTTTATACTAATTACTGTGTGAGCCTCAGATGAACCCCCTTCAATTCACAGGGCTTTGTTAAGGGAGGAGCTGTCAATGTGTCTGCCCGTTTGCAGCTGTGCTGTGGCTTTAGCTTGCTTAACATTATGCTGCTTTTTAGACTTGACAGAAGGGATTTTTTTTTTCTTTTTTTTTTTTTTTTTTTTTTTTTTTTTTTATTAAGGCAAAGCAGCCTTGTAGCGAAATGGTTTAAGCAGCTGCATTGTGGGGAAGCACAAAGAAGTTATTATTGTGTCTGTTTAGGGGGGTCGGATGGAGGGGGGAGATATTCGGCTGCTGTTGATGCCGATTGTTGACTTGCCATCTGCCAGATAGGGAGAAGAAAAAAATGACAG